AACATAACTACGTGCTGCAGGCTAGCCTCGAAGATGCTCAGCGGAGAAAGGGGAAATTCATGGTAACGTAGTTGGACCTTTCTAACGCGTTTGGATCGGTCCCCCATTCCTCCATCACTGGTCTGCTGGCCAAAGCCGGCATACCAACGGTGATACAAAATATCATCAGTAGCCTTTACGAAGACTGCTCGACGAGAGTTCGGACATCTGAGCGATTTACGGATAGGATCCTCATGAAATTGAAAGTTAAGCAGATGTGCATCCTCAGACCTATTCTATTTAACATTGCAATAGAGCCCATGGTTCGCGCGGTAGTACAGTCAGGATTTGGATTCGAAATAGCCGGCAGAAAAATCTGTTCGCTGGCATACGCGGACGACGTCGCGCTGTTGGCGCCCAACGAGGAGGAGATGCGAGAATTACTACGTATCGTCGAGAACATCGCGATTAGACTGGGCCTCGCATTCAATCCTAAGAAATGCGCTATACTTCACACAAGAGGCAGAGAAGAAGTTCCAAGCACGAAGTTCGAGATCGGAGGCGAACTCATTCCAGCTCTGGGAAAACGTGAACCCTACGAACATTTAGATGTCTCCACCGGTGTTTAGCTTGGTCAGACGCCTTACACCACAATCCGGAACGTGCTGGGCGACCTGGACGCTGTGAATCGTTCCCCTCTTAGTCCCTCGGCATTAACTTGAGATGTTGGTAGTATTTATATTGCCAAGTCTTGACTTTCTGTTGAAGGGGGCAGCATGCATCGAACGTCCCTGTCAAGTCTTGACGCAGCTATCAAACGGGTGACGAAAGGGTGACTCAACCTGCACCAATGTGCAAGACCGGAGATACTCTACATCCTCTCTGCGCCCCCTCCCCCCCCAAAGGGTGTGGCGTACCCTATACAAAATGAATGACATGAATCACTGCCTACGAGAAGCTGCGTCGGACCCGACCGATCAGGACCTCGCACAATACCTCTCGGGTTCGCTCGAGGATGACTGGGAGAGGCCGACAACGAGGTACTCGTTATTCTGATCGAGGTTGCGCTCTGCAACGCTCAGGTCGAACGTGCGTCTTGGTTTCTTTTAAAAGTAAATGGAATTTTGTTTTGTACTTTCTGTGTACTTGTTAAGTATAGATCGAAAGTGAGCAGAAGTCTATTTATTATATCCTCTTTATACGCTTCTCTAGAACATTTTCTCGAATAATTCTCTCTATATATTCGAAAATGTTTACTTTTAGCTTCAGCTGCTTCTTCGGATAACTGTCTAATTGGCAACATGGCATTTTCTATGATCACCGGATCATGAATTAAAATTTTATGTATAGTGGGATGCCATGGATATAATCAAATATATAGTTCAGCTGTGCCCAAGCTTTCAAACTTTTCTGTATTAATCTTATAATTACTTGATATTGCTTGCAATATTACTGTTCAGAATCGTTCGAACAGGCTAGAACGCACCGCGAATAGGTCGCGTCAGCGCACTCGATTGGGAAAAATGCCAACTAATTAGCGTTCGGGCATGCGCCTTACCCACCGAAATTTTTCGAGATTTTTGTCAAAACCGTTTTTCGAACACAGTCGTTTACGAATCGCTAACCGAATAACCAAACCCAACCATTCTTTCTTTACCAATCTTTATTATCTTCGTATCGTTACAATTAATTGTTCTTCGTTCTGTGATTTACGTGTTTGTTAAATAAATTGACAATCAATTGAGCTACAAGTAGTGTCCAAAGCTTTTTTATTAAAAATTTCACCGGATTGCCCTCGAGAATCCAATCTTAAAAAGGTTGATCAGCTCCCGCTCAACCCCATCATCCAACAATTACTTTAAATCACTTTATATTATTTTTTGTAGGTGTTACTGGAAAACTTAACCCTTTCGGTACGAGCGCCGGATATATCCGGCATCCATCTGACGACCTGTGTGGCCGAGCGCCGGATATATCCGGCATCCATCTGACGACCTGTGTGGCCGAGCGCCGAATATATCCGGCATCCGTCTGATGACCTGTGTGGCCGAGCGCCGGATATATCCGGCGACCATCTGATCACTGGTATCGACGAGTGCCGGATATATCTGTCATCTACGATATGTGACAATCCGTGTGGAAAAATCAAACAAGTGACATCTATGTACAGTTTGCACAATTAAATTTTATTTTACCGACGTATGAGGTATGGATTTTATTGATTTTATCGATGTATGATATATGGATCTTATACTCACGCATAAAACTTCGAACTGTTGCATTATTTAACAATCGTTCCTTGTTCTTATCTGTGTTGATTGGGTATTAGCGGAGCGATAGTGCTAACCTAATACAGATCATTTTAACAAAAAGTCTTTTGTTACAAGAATTCCGGAAAAACAGCTATAGGTATAATTGTTGTTTGATTTCAACTAATCTATTAAAAAATTTTGAGGTTATGCTTTTGTTCGAAACTTGTTTATAGATTTTAAAAGATTTAGGCCCTTTTCAGAATGAATAGAGGAAATAAAAGATTTAGAAACGGTCTTACTGACTCAGAAAGTGACGAGAATTGTGGAAATGAAAATAATTTTAATCGACGTAAAAGAAGAATAGTTGTAATATATAGCAGCTCTGAATCAGAAACAGAATTGCCCCAAGAGGTTGATGACACGAACCGTGAAGTAAAATGGTCAAACAATCATTTTGTACCAAAAATTCATCGATTCAATTCAAAACACTCGGGAATCTCCAATCAAATACGCCTGTCATCTCAAATCATTGATTATTTCCAATTATTTATATCTGACGAGTTAGTAGACATAATCGTAGAAGAGTCGAACTATTATTTGGCCCAGCAAACCAATAACAATAATCAAGAACCAATGACGCGAAATGAGTTGTATTGTTTTTTGGCCACGTCGTTATTGATGACGCGAAATAAAAAACTATCACTTAAGGAGTACTGGAGCACGGACGATTTTCTACGTAGCGATATTTTTGGGAAAATAATGATTAGAGATCGTTACTTCCTGCTACTCAGAATTTTACATTTCTCCCATGAACCCGGATGCACTGGCGACCGCCTTATAAAAATAAGAAGAATAGTTGACATACTGCGACACTCGTTCAGTGCGGCATTTGTGCCTTATCAAGAACTTTGCATAGACGAAAGCTTACTTCTATACAAAGGCCGCCTATCTTTCAGACAGTATATTCCAAAGAAAAGGAATCGGTTCGGGATAAAGTCCTTTATTCTTTGCGATTGCAAAACCGGATTCGTGCAGGACATCATCATTTATACTGGAGCATCTACAGTTGCGGATAGTCCAGTCAAGGGCATTGGAAAGTCTGGAGCAATCGTCTTACAACTATTGAAGACATACTTAGGAAAGGGCCATACCCTTTACGTGGATAATTTTTACTCCAGTCCCTCATTATTTAATCTATTATTCGCCAATCGCACAAATGCATACGGGACAGTGACAAAAAGACGACAAGGAATGCCCAAGATCGAAAATAAATTGAAAAGGGGAGAGATGTCTTTTCGTAGCTCGGAAAGTCTATTGGTTTTAAAATGGATGGACAAGAGAGAAGTATACATGATCTCGACTATGCATACAGCAGATTTTATGACAGTAACCAGACATAGAGGCGGACAGAGTGTACAAAAGCCTGTATGTGTTGTAGATTATAATAATTCCATGGGTATAGTAGATAAAGTGGATATGGTGATAAGTAGTGTAAATTCAACTCGAAAAACTTTAAAATGGTACCGGAAATTTTTTTTTCACCTAATTGATATTTGTGTATGGAATGCATATTGCCTTTATAAACATAAAAAGAAGGCAACCATATCTATGGCGAATTTCCATTTGCAATTGATCAAACAAATATGCGATAAATACCATAAAGATTATATCAACCAGCCAGTAAGAAAAAATGATTACCCAATGAGATTAACAGAAAGACACTTTCCATCATTGTTTGTGTCGAAAAAAAAGAACCGGAGCCGACGGTGTGTTGTATGTAGCAAGAACGATAAAAGAACAGAATCTAGATACGAATGCAAAGATTGTAATGTAGGTTTATATATAAATGAGTGTTTTAGAATATACCATACCCAATTGTATTATTAACCGTTTTACTTATGATCATATGTTAATTAAAAATATGTAAATAGTAGTTGTTATATTTATAATTTTTTATATAATTTTGTACATACTTCAGTATTTAATTTTGTATATATTTTGTACCGAATTTTGTATAGATTTTAATTATAATTAATAAAACTTTGTATAAATAATTTTTAATATTCAAGCAACAACCGACATTTGTTGGAAAAAACATTGTTTTATTAAGCACAGTTGTTATTTAACGGTTAGGAAAATGTTCATAGGAAGGTAGACTGACAGTGTGTTATACGATACCTTTCGGCCGAATCAAGACAGTTCGTTATAAGCATATTTTCGGCGCGGCAGCTCGTACAGCGGGGGTATCATGGCGGACAGAGCGCCCGTACCGAAAGGGTTAATCAATGTTTAATTGAAAAGTGGTCGGCGATTGTCAACCGAAAAGGCGTCATTCTCCAACATGACAATGCAAACCTGGTGGAAGCTGCGGGATAGCTGCTTGTAGCCATTCTGAGATTTGTGCTGGTGATATAACTGTGGGGTTAAGTATACCCCTTTTTATATCTAGTGTAAATTCTAACAGATCATTCGCATCTTCCACTAGGTTTCTTATGATATTCCCTAGAATAATTGCGTTTTCGTCTATTGCGGTTGTGATGTGTTGTCTGTCGGTCTCTGTTTGTAACAGTGGTTTAAGTGTGTTCGTGCTATCGAATAACATTTTTTCGTTTTTGTTTATATTTTCAACCGATTCATTGAATAATTTAATATTTGCGTTAATGACTTGCGTTTCTTCAATCGCCGAGGTTTTTAGAGCGGCCCCTTCCTGTGTGAGTAGTCGTATTTGTCTATCAATTGTCGTTCGGTCTTCTGCATCCATAGTACCGAATAAGGTTTTTGCAAGGTAACCTATGCCGTTTATCAGACCCCGGCGGGTCCGCGCGTTGCCTGTTATTTGTTCCACGTACTTTAGGTTTAAAGAGATACGTTCAAGTTCTTTTTGATGTGTTGTAGCAAATTGTTTACAAAATGTATGCAGTTTATGATATTCGTTATTTAAACAGCTTCTAGTTGCTGCTGTTAGGGCGTTTTGTAGTCGAATTTGACGTGCAGCTAGTGATGTCGTATTCAGATGTAGAGCTAGTTTCCAGGTGTTACCGCATGTTTGTAGTTTGCCTAATTCTTCAAAATATATTCCAGGGTTGTGTAAAAATTTGTTGATCGTGCATGGTTCCGTTACTGAGTCGATGCTTGTTATAAGTAGAGTCAAACTCAATATCCTGTAATAAAAGACGACCTTGATTGGAAGTGCGTCTACATAGGCATAGATTGTTAGTTTAAAAGGGGAATATGTTTTGCTAGATATCGATAAAAATGTGTTATCTATTAGTTTATTGTTAGTTCATAAAATGTTTTAGACGGTTGGTGTGTATTCGCAGTGTTCGTCTTCCCTTTTTGATTGTGTAATTTTCTTTATCGTGTTTCTGTAAAACTGTGTAAGGTCCTATCCAATTTGTTGCTAATTTTTTCGTTCGTCCTTGTCGAAGCGTTTTGTCTCGTAATAATACTTGGTCTCCTGGTTTGAATATTTTTTCACTGGCCGATTTGTCGTAGTATTGTTTCGTTGCTATTTTACTGTTCCTCAGAGCTTCTCTTGCTATTAAGTTCGTCGAACGTATGCGTTGTTTTAACTCGTGTGCGTAATGGTCGTATATGTAATTCGGTTGGGGTGGTAAATTAAGTGATGTTGGTAGTTCGGCTTGTCTTCCGTACAATAATTCATATGGTGTGAATTTTGTAGCAGAATGAGGTGTGGTATTATATGTGAACATGGCATAAGGAAGCCATTCGTCCCAATTGGTCTGGTCTTCGTTGATAAAATTTTTTAAATATTCTGCTACTGTTCTGTGACTTTTCTCAAGGGCGTCGTTCGATTCCGGATGATACGCGGTGGTTTGAATTTTTTCTATATGTAACAGTTTGCATGTATCCTTGAATATTTGACTAAGAAAATTTGTTCCCCGATTAGTTAATATTTTTCGCGGTATTCCGTGTTCGCATATTACTTTAGTTACGAATTCTTTTGCGATCGTATTTACTTCTTGGTCTGGTAATGGTATAGCCTTACTAAATTTTGTTAACCCGTCTTGGAAAGTTAATATGTATTTATTTCTGTTATTAGTTTCAGGTAATGGGCCTACAATATCTAACGCACATTTTTCGAAGGGTATTGCTGGGGTATCTATTATTACCATTGGCGCTTTAGTTGTTTTATATAGTTTGTTTTTTTGACATTTTACGCATTTACCAATGTAATTTTCAACGTCCTTTTTAATCCCTGGCCATGAATGTTTTAATAATATACGTTTAAGTGTTCGTTTTATTCCCTGATGTCCACCTAAAGGAGCGTCGTGGTATTCGTATAATATGCGTTCCTTGTCTTCTTCAGTGTAAGTGTCTAGTTCAGTTTCGTCATCTGTGCCGGAGTCAGATGAGAGTTCCTTGTCTGCTAGGTCGTTGTCAGATCTGGCGTCAGCATTATTGTTGACCGTTTGGTTACTGTCTGTTGGTATTTTCCGCGGCCTACCTTTACCGCGTTTGACGACAAACATTCTACTTAAAGCATTTTTGTTAGTCTTTCCTTCTTTGTAACGGATTTCGTAATCATATTCCTCTAATTTTAATCGCCATCTCATTAATCGAGTTCCTGGATCCTTCATGCTGAACAGCCACGTTAAGGGTTTGTGATCCGTAACAATAGTGAATTTCGTTCCGTAAAGATATGGTCTGAAATGTTGAGTTGCCCAAACAATTGTCAAAAGTTCTTTTTCAGTTGTGCTATAATTGATTTCTGCGCTATTGAGAACTCTACTCGCGTAAGCTACTAATAGGTCTTTTCCGTCATGGTCTTGAGATAAAACTGCTCCTATTGCCTTTCCCGAAGCGTCTGTTGTTAATATAAATTGTTTCGAAAAATCAGGGTATTGCAATAGTGGTGCCGATGTCAATTTTTCTTTTAGTAAGTCAAATGCTTCTTGTTCTTACGCGGTCCATCTAAACTCTACGTCCTTTTTCAATAGTTGTGTTAATGGTTCAGCTATCTTCGAAAAATTTTCTATAAATTTCCGGTAATAACTAGCTAACCCTAAGAAAGATTGGATATCTTTAGCCTTTTTCGGAATAGGAAAATTTCTAACAGCAACTAATTTTGATGGATCTGGTTTTATCCCTTCTTTCGTAATTATGTGACCTAAATAGAGAGTTTCTTTCCGCAATAATTCACATTTACTAGGTTGCAATTTGAGTCCGCTGTCGCGTAACCGATAAAAAATTTGATCTAATCGTTCTTGATGTTCTTTTAGCGAACGGCCATGAACTACAATGTCATCTATATACACGAAACATTTTAATCCTCTTAAGCCACCTAATATTGTTTCCATAACCCTTTGAAACGTAGGAGGAGCGCCTTTGAGTCCAAACGGCATTCTTTTGAATTCAAAATGCCCGTGTTGTGTGGAAAACGCAGTTTTTTCGGAATCCTCTGGTTCCATTTCGATTTGATGAAATCCAGTCTTCAAGTCTAATGTGGAAAAATACTTTGCTCCTCCTAATTGATCTAATATGTCCGTAATATTAGGGAGCGGAAAAGAATTTCCTGCAGTTATCTCGTTTAGTTTACGAAAATCTATTACCACCCTATATTTTGGTTTTCCAGTTTCATCAGGTTTTTTAGGTACCACCAATAGTGGAGCATTCCATTCGCTAGTGCTTGGGCCTATTATTCCTTGCTCGATCATATCCTTTACTTGTTTGTCAATTTCATCCCTGTGTATTTGCGGTAGTTCAATACGGTTTAATGTTTACTGGTTTAGCGTTTGGTAACAGTCGTATTTTGTGTCGTGCAATGTCCGTGTGCCCTAATTGGTCTCCTTTCAAGTAAAACACTTCATTATGCTCTTCGCATAACTCCAATAAACTAGTTTTTTCTTCTTCATTTAGATGTTCCGTCCTAATATTGTCGCGTAACGTCTTCATTCTATCTATTCCGGTTAGTGATCGTATATCGTAGCTTTCCCGCGCTTCTTTCATATTGTCTTGGTCATGGTCGAGTGTCATCAGTTTAGTGTCCAAGTCAACAGGCGGTAATCGAACCTGTACTGTCTGTTCAGTCATATTTATGACTGGTATAAGACATTTTCCGTTTTTGGCTTCGGTTAGACAATTTCCTATATACACACCAGCTTGAAGCATTTTCTTTTCTACTATTCCTTCACCGTTATCATTTGCTCGGACCTGTATTATTGTCTCTGTACGCGGCGGTAAATTAAATTCTTCGTCATATAATAACAGCCATATAACTCCTAAAATTTCTACGTGTTGTCCCGGTCTGATTATTGCTTTAAAATTTGTAACAAAATCGTACCCTAAAATTCCGTCCGTCTGAATGGGAAAGTCATCCTTAATTATACGACACGGGTGAGTTACAACTCTGTCACCTATTTTTATATTTAGTTCAATTGTGCAAATAGTCGGAATTTCAGTACGTCCTATCCCTCTCAGTGTAATGAGCTCGTTTGTCGCGGGTACCTTTCCTACAGTCTTACTGTATTTAAGTAAAGTTAGATCTGCTCCTGTATCTACTAGCATTCGCGCTTCTGCATCTTTTATTTCCCAGGCTTGTATCTTAACAATGTTTTTGGGCCTAGCTGCTCCCTCGGTACAGTTTATTCTATATGAATTCACCGTTCTTTCGTTCGGACCTGGTTGTCTGATATTAGCAGTATCTGTGTTTAAACGCGGTCTGGATTCTCTACTTGATCCTGCTTCTTGCCGATAATTCGAATTATTTCCGCCGTTGTCCCTAACTAAAGTTCTACAATCTCGTTGAACATGTCCCGGTCTTTTGCAATAATTGCAAATTATTGAAGTATGGCGCACCTCTCGTTTAATACCAAAACTTTGGCGGTTAGACGGGAGATGGCCAGGTGAAACTGTCATCCGAGACATGCTCAGTCGCGCGTAACAGTTCTTAGCGAGATGCCCTTGTCGATGGCATCTTTCGCGGTTCTGAACATTGGAACTGAAACGGTTTCTATTTGGTCCGGAACTATTCGGGGTTTTATAGTCACTAAATTTTTCAAAATTTCGTGTTGGGGTTAAACCTAGCGATTGTTCTTCTTCTATGGCCGCTGTTATGGCAGTTTTAAGATTATCATACTGCCTCGACCGTATGATGATCCTTAACTTTTCTTTCAACCCGATGGTAAAAATATTGAGAGCTTGCTCGTTAACTGACTCTGCTAACGCGACATTTACGGCATTCGTATTCCTTGGCTTTAACGTTATTTGTGTTAATTCGGTCTTCAATTTTTCTAGTCTCGTTGCGTAGTCCCTAACACTTTCTCCGTTTCTTTGTCGACATGTATTAAATTCTGTTTGCATAGTACATAGTGACCGTTTTTCAGTAAATAAAGTGGTTAAAGTTGTCTGTAATGTCTCGAAACTGTCTATGTCTCTATATTCAAATTCTATTGCCACTCTATCCTTTAGTTTCGTTCCTAAAATTGCTCGCAGTAAAAGTAGGTGTTCGCGTTCTGCTACTAATTCTTTTGCAATAGTAAATGATCTAATAAACGACGCAAGTTCAATTGCCGATTCTCCTCCAAATTCCTTTACAAGAGAGAGTGCGGTTATAACGGGGGTCGTCATTTCTACTGTTTCTAATAATGTGAAATCGTGGATATTGATAGGGAATTCTCGTTGCGTGGTTATGTGTTCTAAATCGCTGTCATCCGATAAATCACTTTCTATACTAAAATGAGGTGCGCGTAAACGTCGTCGAATTGATGTTGGATCGGAAAAGGGGGTTTTGACTTCTTCGGTGTATGTTAAAAGATTATCGAATATGGAGTCGCAAGATTTAGATATAGCCTTACAGTATGGCAATCTAAATTTTTCTGTATCACCACTGTTTCCCGACGTACAAGATTCTGGTTTACAAAAATAGTTACTCGAAATTATACTACTTACAATATTAGTTGCGCTCGTATGTCGTTGCTTTCTTCAGTTGGTTGTCTTTTCCAATCAGCTAACGGTCCTCGGACTGCAATCAGCTGTCTTCTCGTTCTACCGTATGCTCCTGCTGCTTTATGACGATGGCTGATCCAGGCAGTCGGTCTCCTCAGATGATCCGCTCCTGGATTTCTCCAAATTGACAGTAGACTACGGCTCGATGTGCTTGGTATCGAGACGATCTGTCCGGGCTGGTTGACGTCTCTACGGAGAACGTTTTATGCAGCTTCTTGATGCCCTTTACTGGGTCCGGAAGAATTTCACGATTCTTTGTGGAATTACAATTATGTGTTGCAATTCCTGTGGCACACTATAGCTCACCGTGTTGCACTATCACGTATAAAGTAATCTATCCCACCGCTGCCACCAAATTTGTTGTGCCCCTCGGGGTACAATGTTGTATGGAGGATAGATTAGGTTTAGGGAGCGTCAAAGAAGTAGACTTCACCGGTCAACGAGTGTAAAATTGGAGAAGACTTTATTCCTTCTGACAATAACACAAGGAACTTTAATATTTAACTCTTACTTTCGAACCCCCTGACCTGGCGGTGTATCGCCTTTTATATGCTTCGCAATTCGGTTTTGACCAGGTTCGACATACTTTTAATGCTGACTATGGTGTACTACTATTGGACCAAGTTCGACATACTTTTAATGCTGACTATGGTGTCCTACTGACGATAACCATTCCATAGTTGTTGCACAATGACCTGGTGCGTCGCTATGTGCAACTCTTATTGCTGACGGGATACAACATATGTGTACAGATTCTTTTATAAATCTAATGCGAATAGACCTGCAATACCTGGGAGAGGATGGTTCGGATTTTGCCGAAATACTTTTTTACTAATAGAAGAGATTAATCGTAACGAGACAAATGTGCTTTGAAAGATATGCGAGTCGGAATCAGTTTTTCTTAAAAATCCTTGTTTATGTTGCGTTTGTTGCAACCCATCGCACATCCCATTTCCTTATTATCTCCAATGACTTCATATCGCTGTCACTTAAATTATTCAATATATTTTGCAAATATAATAATAGATGAGTAAGTGTGTGATTCAACAAATCTTGCAGATTTACCTCGACATAAGTTTCTGTTACAATAAATCTCACAAAGAGGATAACAATCCTTTTTAACTTTTTGCAACAAACTGTAACAGGGAAATAATTTTGTATTACTTATCCGAATTATGTTGTACTGTTCTCGCGATGATATAGCTTCTACAAATAAAGATAGGGATTGTTCATTGGTTAATTGTTTCTTTTTTTTTATAAGTCGGTAGAATAAATGTTCCTATAGTTTCTTGCACATTCTGGACATTTAATTATTTACTTTAGTACGATTGACGCATTTACTTGGCCGGAAGCCCTTAACTTTGATCCAGTAGCGAATACTTATTATTCTATGCTTTTATTTTTTCGAATATCTTCAGTTTTTCTTCACTTGCTACGATCACTTAAATCTAAAAATGATTTTACTTGTCGTGGTTGTCCACTTTCAGATTTTATTAATAATTTCTTATTAATAATAAATTCAATACAAAATAACTGCCACGTACTAAACATAAACTACACAAAACAATATTTAAACTAAAAAAAATACACTGTATGATGGGATTTACGCTAAAAAATTTAACTGAAGTTCCATTTCACCACAATTTTATTCAGTGTTCTTGGTATGAATATGAATTCAAAACTTTGTAACTGATTGTGTTAACGCTCATCAAACCTCCTGCTCACAAACACCTGTATGAAGTTAGCACCCCATTTCGAACATTTTTAAATTCCAAAAGTTGTTCCAGGTTGTTCTAGACTTGTTCTAAATTGTTCCAGAAGATAGAAGTTTTATACTAATTATTTTGATAAAAAATGAAAAAAAAAAAACAGTTTTTTGGACTGGCACCCCATTTTTCGAAAATCAAATTTTTTATGGTTGTTCCAGATTGTTCTAGTTGTTCCAAATATTGTTCCAAAGTAATAATTTCCCAAACAAAGTACTTACAAAGATATAATAAAAAAACGATGTCGAGCGCGCAAAGAGTATTCTTATATCTTCGGGTATTATTACCATTTTCTAAACATCAAATTGCATATTTGATCTAATAATTAACGTAACAACCTGGAACAACTTTGATTTTTGCCAGAACAAATTTTTTAAGGGCACTTTACTCTTGGAAGTAAAGAAATTTTTCCCCCTTTTTTGACATTTTTGACCTATAACGGCGTGATAGCGGCATCAAACTGCAGAACAATATCAAATGAGCATAGAACAACCTGGAACAACTTTGATTTTTGCCAGAACAAATTTTTTAAGGGCACTTTACTTTTGGAAGAAAACAAATTTTTCCCGTTTTTCACTGCCTTTTATCGCGATCTTCTATTTTGGCGACACTATATAATGTTTTAATCTATTTTTTAATTCTGTGTTTCTTTTTAATGCTTGTACAAAATAAAGGTTTTTTAGACTTTAATATACACTATTAAATGAGGATTTATTGTAGCATTGCTTTTAATTTTCCTCGGTTTACGGCTCAAATCATCAAATTCTGTCCAGTTTTCGTTACATTTAATAATCGCTGTATAATGTCCTGCTGACGTAATTGACGTACCACCATAAAAATTGATTATTCCTGCTAATTTATATTCATTGTCTTTTAAAATAATATGCTCGATGAAACTATTTAAATTATATTTTTGTTGACTGTAACTATGTTCAATAAATAAATGTGATCCATATTCTAAGTTTGTTTGGAGACTCTTTTAACATATTTTACAAGTTTTGTTATTATAAATTTCTATGAAATATTCTTTAATGGCTTCGCCTAATTTTGCATAATCATGTTCTTCTATTACTTTGGTTTGTATAGGTAAAATAATTTCCGACTGACAGTTAAAATGATTCTACCTATAATGGAAATGTTCTTTAAACGCTTGATTTTTCTGTTGGTCTTTAAAATCGTGACGATTGTAGGTAGTTAACGTTGACGGTTATTTTTGTGCACGCTATTCCGTTTGTAATGTGTTTTCGATATTCAACTGCCACTGTATATGCTGTACGTTGTTCCAATTAGTGTCTAGAAGTGATCGAGCATAGTTGGGTCTTCTTTGCAGAACCTACCAGGAGAAATTAAATACCTGTTTCGTGTTTGAATATTTTCATTTCTATATTGATTTGCTTCTATATATTATTTTTTATTTTCTTTTTTGTATTGAATTACGTATTAAGTATTAAGGTAAGTTATATTAAATCTTATATTAGGTAGTAAGAAGTTTTACACGTGGTATATATAATTTTTTCATCGTTCCGTACATTTAATTTATTTTGAAGTATTAACTATTTTATTATATTATCTTTTTATTAGCTTTTTCTAAAATGGCAAAGCATGTTAATTATCTTTTAGATATTCTTTTTTCTAATAAATTCCGCGATGTTATCGACGAATTTGGAAAGCCCGTCATTCCAAGTTCGCCGATATATTCGACGATTAGTGAAATCACTAAAAATGACCCAGATAAAACTCACCATTATTTAAAGCCGAAATATATTTATATTCTTTTAAAGAATAATCGATACGGTTTATGGGATAAAATTTTAGAATATCATAATGTTAAGGTCGAATCAAGAATATCTGATATTTCATTAAATGATACAAATGAATCAAGCGATGCGATTTCATTTAAAATTAATTTATCTTATGAGACTTTCCTAAAAATATCACCGGAACAGATATTATATAAGGATAAAAAATTAGGTGAGAGGAAATATAATATATTACTTCGAAAAGTTTGGACACACGTCTTACAGGGTTTGTCCAATAAGTATCGGGACTGATATTTTTCTACTAGTTTGGAAGGTCAGGAAGCAATCTCTATTGACTAGATCGATGCGGGAGGTTGTTATGTATAATAGAAATTTAGGTTCATTTGTATTCCACCATTTGTTTTGTTTATATTGTGCTTGAAGTGGAAGCGTATTTAACGTTCGCGTCGAGATTCAAGATGCAACGAACCATCGAGCAGCGTTGTGCCATTAAATTTTGCGTTAAGCTAAGTAAATCTGCTACGGAGACATTTGATATGATTCGTCAAGCTTACAAGGACGATTTCATGTCCAGAACGCGTGTTTTTGAGTGGCACAAAAAGTTCAAAAATGGCCGTGAAGACGTTGAAGACGAGCAACGCGTTGGACGACCGACGTCGTCCCGATCCGATACGAATGTCGACAAAGTGCGGGAAATTTTGAATTTTGAAACCACCCTACAGTCCAGATATGGCTCCCTCTGATTTTTTCTGTTCCTTTGCATTAAAGAAAGCCTTAAAGGACATCGTTTCGGGACGATTGAGGCGGTTCAAGCGGCTTCGACGGAGTGCCTGAAGAGTCTTACGCTTGCCGATTTCCAGAGAGCGTATGAACAATGGAAAACCCGCTGGCAACGATGTATTGATGCAGGAGGGGCATACTTTGAAGATTATTAACTCAATGTACATATATCTTCAACGAATTTCATTTTAGGACATCAATCCCGATACTTACTGGACAAACCCTGTATATAAGAAAATTTACGATGAAATAAAGTTACTATGTGCCTTAACATTTAAAAACTGTAAAGTTTCTGATATTGGTTTTTTTTTAATTGTACATGGAAACTGCAAAGAATGCGATTGCATTTTCAAGGGGTGCATTATTAATAGGCCGTTACATAAAAAAGATGTAATCATGGAATGCACTCTTGAGAATTTCGACAATTCTATCGAACATAAGAAAAAGCGTCAATTAAAAGGAGAACGTCGCATCGAGATTTCTCGCGACATGCTGGACAGAAATATTTTACTATCGTTATGGCGGCGTAAGGAAGCCGATAATATTGTTGCGCCGGGGCGTTTCCTCGCGAGTAGCCATCACAAATTAAAGACACACAAACTTAGAATTACAAGAACTCGAAATGATTTATTAACAAGGTGTACAGACGTCTGTAAACTTCAAAATCTAGCGCGGTACTACTATTTAAACATCGCGGTTGCTCCCAGCTACCGGAAGTCCTGGCCACTCGATCCGCTCGTCCTGCCTGACAACTTCCGCGGACCTCTTCATTTCGTAGCCAGGACTAGCTTCACTGCTTCGATCGTGAACCAGCTTCACGTCGCAACAATATTATGGACTTTGGAGACTCTGAACCACCATATTTACCTAAAAATAGTGTTCT